AGTTCAACAGAGAGAAAAGAAAGGAAATGGGAGGAAATGAGGGGAAAGTAAGAGAGAATGGTGCTTCCCGAGTTTCATTAAAGGAAGGAAGTGGAAGGAAATGGAAGGAAGAAAAACTTTCCCTCCTAACTTTTCTTCCGATTTGGGAGGATTTGAAAAGAAAGAACAAAATGTTTAACTTTTCTTGCATTTCTCTCCAACTCGGGAGCACTAATGACAATTTCTTTTTCCTTTCTTTTCTCTTCTTTTCTCTCCTTACTTTCTTTTCCCTTCTCTTCTTTTCTTTGCTACAACTCGGGAGCGGGGTGGTTTGCATGCAAACAATTGGATTAGATTAGAATGTGAAAAGTTAGATTTGTTAATGGTGGATGAGTATTAGGAAGTGGTTCCATTGCAAACAATTTAATTACGATCCAATCTAATTTTTTCTTTTCATTTTTTGTTATTAATGTATAATTTAATATTTCATACTTTTTTTAATCATTATATTGGAATTATGTTACCTTCCTAAAATCTAATCTTATGTTTAAAGGAATATAAAAGGCATTTTAATTTTTTATATATCTTTTACATAATTGTTAATTACAATATTTATATTACATAATAACATAATATGCTAATATATTTATTTTTAAATATCACTACGTTAAATTATTTTCATTTTAAACTTTTAAACATAAGTTATGCCTACCTAAACATATCCTAATTTAATATTTAATATGTATACCTTTTTTATTATAATATATTATTTGTATAAAAAATATGAAAATGTATATATGTGAAACTAATAGGCCATATTATAAAGTTTTATAAAAATATTGCAATTACATATTAAATATTACCAAATTGTAGGTTTATATGTTATTTATTTGTAATTTGTAATTTATTCATAATTTGTCAATATGTCAAAAAAAATGACATTCTACCCATTTGTTCAATATATAAATATTATATATGAGTTACTTTTATTGTTATCCGTAGGCATCTTATTTTATAAACTAATTCAAGTTGTTTGTCACATTCAATTTCTTCTAACAAAACTAGAAAATTAAATAATTTTTACTTGGATAATACAAAAAATATTAATTTGGATACTACATCAACACATCTATACACATCTATATTTTTTACGTTTATTTCTTCAATTTTATTATAAAAACATATTTTTTACCTAATTATACATTTTATATCCTATCTTATTATCGTTTATCGAATTTGTCCATATCTGTTTGATTCAAATTTATATTCACCTGATGTATTAAATGGTCTAAAAGTATCTGGTCTATCAAATCATAAATTAGTTTTAAAAATTGGTGTTTCAGTAATCTTACTGGTAAATATTGATCTGAAAAACGGTTTTTAATTACGTATTGATCTGCGTACATTCAACGAAAATCATAGACCAAAAATTAGGGTTTTAAAAATATGCAATATTACAATTCATAAGTTTTCTAAATTAATGAAATATTATTTTATTACATTATTAAATTTTAAATTCTACTTAAAATTAACACCCGTGGATTCCACGGATTTTAACCTAGTGTATATATATATATATATATATATATATATATATATATATATATATATATATATATAAGTGGAGACTAAACTTGTGTTGCGATTAAAATTCAATTTCAAATATATTTTTCTAGTCTTTGAGACTTCACATATAAAACTATACCTCACATTTAGGTTGGGTAGTATAGGAGGTTAGGTGGAGTTGGTGAGTCTAAATTGGTGGGGCGTGTGTATGTGGTTGTGGATGTTAGGATGGGTAGCGTAGGGGTGTAGTGCGTTGTTGGTTTTGGTGATGGGTCGTAGGTAGTGGTGATGGGTGGTGGTTGGTGGCTTGGTGAGTTGTAGGTGGTGGTGATGGGTGGTTAGTGGGTGGTAGGTAGTGCCACCTTGTAAATAAAGGACAATTTTTGTTTTCAAATCTTCTCGCAATAATAAATGTTTTCGATTGAACGCGTAATATGTTTGTGTGTGTGTGTGTATAGGCACGTAATAGAGAACTTTCAATTTTATCATAGAACTCAGAAGTTGAAGCCTACAGTCGCCGGAGATGCGTAGGTTTTTGCAGGAAATTGATGTTCCCCTTCGTCGGAATATACTTGGTGGCTGAATCGATTGTTGATTGACAGAAAAGGGGAAGAAAGAAAACGAGAGAAGATGCAGAAATGAAAGAAGCAGAAAGTGATGACCATTAGTGGTTTTTTTTTTTTTTTGGTTATCTATAAAAGCCTTTACCGACGACATACATCAGCAGCGGCGACTATTCTGGAGGGAAGATTACTGCGTCTTATTTTATTCCATCATTAGTGACGACAATTTTGACCTTTAGCGGCGACAAATTGTCGCCGGTAATAACATCGCCCGTAATGATCTTGTTTCTTGTAGTGATCGAGATCAATTGTTGTGAGTGGATTTCATGCATGCGAAACACAATACGCGGGAGTAGAATAGAAGTGTAAAAACAGTTTAGGGCAATGGATTAAGAAGCACCTTTGGATCGTAATCAAGTCGATAGGAGAGAACAGAGGACGTCGCAATGGCCGGCGTTTGCGGAAGTAAGCATCATGGTAGCAAGTACGGTGGTGGGTGATGGTCGGAGGTTGAAAAGTGTATTTGTATGTGAACATGAAAGGTTAAATTAGTTTTGAAATAAGAAAAATAAATCAGGTTTCAAATAGGTAATCCGATCAGGTTTTCGAAATCGGATATATTTGGTTAAATGGGTTGGGGTCAATAACCGGGTAAAAATTAACCATTCCATTCCCGTTAGGAATGTGTTGTTAAATTGCATCCACTAAATTGCGTCTGTTTGAGAACTGTAACCGTTTACCGATGGACTTTATTCTATCGCAATACCGCTAAAATCTTTATAATTGGATTTTCTTAATTTGTAGGAAATCCGTTGGTTTTCTGACGGAGTTGTTCCGTCACTATTGCTGTGTTTTCTAGTAGTGGAATCGAGAGGATAGTGGTGTACGAGTTTCATTTAAGAAAGAAAAGGAAAAGAACTTGGGGGTCGGGAGGGAAAGAAAAGGTTTTTTTTTAAGAATTCTTTCCTCTCATTTTGGGATGATTGGGAGGGAAAGAGTTGTTAACCTTTCCTTCCCTTCCCTTCGTTTCCTTTCCTTTCCTTCCCCTCTTTTCCTTCTTAAAAAAACTTTTCTTTCCTTCCCCTTCCTTTCCTTCTTAAAAAAACTCGAGAACATGGTAGAAAAAAATTGGCAGTGACAATGCAGGATGTTGAAATAGGTGAAGACGGTGGAGAATCTCTCTATCTGATTGGAAGTAATGATGAGGGACCAAAAGTGAGAATTGGAAAAACTAAAACACTATGGAATCAAAATTGGTAATGGCCGAAAGAAGTGTGGCAAAAACGTAAAGAACCCAAGATCACTGTTCATAACCGTGAGGGAATTTAAATACGTATATGAATCTAGGTGTACATTGTTTTCAAAAAAAAAAAAAAATCGTTCTTAAGCAATTGTAAGACATTTAAAATATTTCTAAGCAAGCATATGAATGTATGGGAATTGTTGGATCTGCCACAGTAATGAGGTGCTAAATCTCACACATGCTAAGGTTCTCTCATCAAACATCTGTGAAGAAAAAGGACTTTCAAGGAAAAGATATTAGTTTAAATGCTATGACTAAACTTTTAATTGATGAAGGCTTAGAAACACAAAAGATAAAAGAACCATAGTATGAGAATGGTCAAAATCAACACTGTGCAACGGATCCAGTAGTGGAGTCCAGGAAATTAAAGAAACCGGAGAGCAAAGGAAGATAACATTGTTTGGGAAGTTTTGAAAGAAAAATAAAGTTTGAATAGAGGAGTAAATATGGCGGAAAATTCTGAATCAAGAAGGAAAATGTTGGAGTAATTCAGAATTCTAGGACAAATTTAACTCTAAGGGTATTTTAGTATGTTTTGTTATTTAAGAATTCTTTTTCTGTTTTGGTCCCTCTTCTTCTTCCCTCCTATTTTCCTGTATTACTTTTGCCTGGGTGCACAAGATGCAGGTCTGAACCAAGGTCTGAAGCAGCCCCTTAAACCCGAAGGATGCTAAGCACACAGACACCGAGAAATATTCTGTGTAATGAAGCGTCATTGAAAATAAAATTACAATCAAACCCAGTGAGCCCATCGATAAAATAAAGGAAAAGAAATTTCCAATCGGATATATCAACTGAATTGTCGTATTAATTAATTTGATAATGAACAATCTTTGTCCCGATTGAAACTCCAAAAATCTAAACAGGCCCACTGAAATTTCGTAGAAAAATGTAAAGTTCGTACATGACAAGCTTTAGTTATTCAAAAAACGAAATGTAAATTTCATAGAAGTAACAGGAAAGAAAAATTCATGTGAATTCACTTATAAAATAAAAATGCACTGGAAAAAATGTTTCCACTTACTTGCCTGGAATAGAAAGTTAAATTCTTTAATAAATAGTGTGAATTGTATAAGAATTTTGTATAAGTGAACAACGAAATTTCTGAAGTAAATTGTTATTTCAACTTTAACCCAATTTACAAGTATAAGTTACCTGATTTTTAACGTTTTCTATTTTAATTGTTTGTATAAAGACGAGCATTATTAAGGTGTTTAGATCTGCGTGTGGTCCTCATATGTTGCTTCCTACCATACTCCTAGTCCCAAGATATATACCCTACCTAACAAAAAATTATTGAGCTCAATAATAGACATAAATTATTTTAAAATTGAATAAAACATATCGACCAATCAAAATGAATGAATAATAAGAAGCAACTGTCTTTTGTGAAAGAAAAAAAAAATATCCCGCGGGTTCTAAAAAGAGAGCTGACTTTTGTGTGTGAAAAAGAGAAATTAAGACAGAAAGATAAAAAAAACGATGATTAAAGGTGTGTCTTCCCATTTTATTTCTACAATCAAGCCTTTCTCTGAAGAACTCAGGCTATTTCCTTTATCTTTGTATTCAGTTTTATTTCTATCATCAAAATGATGCATCTGATAAATAAGTTTGAACACCTCAAGATACAACTAGAAGCTATAAAATTAGCAACCGACAACTTTGCTGATGAAAACTGCATTGGCAGAGGAGGTTTTGGAAAAGTATACAAGGGAGAGCTTCTTCATTCCAAGGGGAAAATAGTTGTTGCTTTAAAGCGATTAGATCCGAAATTTGGGCAAGGAAACCCCGAGTTTTGGAAGGAAATCATTATGCTTTCTGTTTACAAGCATGAAAATATTGTTTCTTTGTTAGGGTTTTGTGACGAGAGCAATGAAAAGATCCTAGTGTACGAGTACGCATCTAGGAGAAGTCTTGACTCATATCTCAATGATGATGACTTAACATGGATTCGAAGACTTCATATTTGTATTGGGGCAGCTCGTGGACTAGCATATCTTCATAATCCTGGTGGGACCCAACAAAGAGTGTTACATCGTGATATCAAGAGTTCTAACATCCTACTTGATGAGAACTGGAATGCTAAGATATCAGATTTGGGCCTATCAAAATTTGGGCCAGCAAATCAACAATACACGTTTCTTGTCTCGAATGTTGTGGGCACTCTTGGGTATATCGATCCTCTATATATAGAAACAGGGTTATTAACAAAAGAATCTGACGTTTATTCTTTCGGTGTGGTGTTGTTCGAAGTGTTGTGTGGGAGGTTATGTATTAGCAACGAGAATGGAATTCATCAGTCTTTAACAGCTTTAGTGCGACGTTACTACCCACAAAACAAAATAAGTGAAATGATTTATAGTAATATAAAGGATGGAATGGATCCTAGATCATTGGATATGTTTACAACAATAGCTTATCAATGTTTGAAGGGAGACGTGGAAGAACGTCCACTAATGACTGATGTTGTGATCAAACTTCAAAGTGCACTTGAACATCAAGTGAGTTATACTTTTCATTTCTACGCATATACGTATAGTAATTATTTAAGTTGATATTTTCATTCCAAAAGACTATGTCCATAAAAATATAATCCATTTCGACAGTACGTCACAAAAAATATAATCGATTACCAGTTACACCATTAGGAAAAAGTACAATAAATAATGTTAAAAAAGTTAAGTTTGGAGAATTACAAGACACATAATCCACACGGAAACTATTGTACAATTCGTGGCTAAATTATATTACAAAGTTATTATAAAATTTGTAATAAATTTTGAAGGAGCTGCTCTGTAATATATATATATATATATATATATATATATATATATATATATATATATATATATATATATATATATATAATATATATATATATCTTTTTTGCTATACACAAAATTTTATGATTTAAGAACTATACAAGAGTTATACAATACATAGATTGAACAATCTTTAAACCTTAAATTATTATGTATAACAAAAAGTTGTTATGTCCAGGTCACTACGCACAATTTTAAAACCTCTAGGAAAAAAAATTAAAAATAAATAAAAAAATAAAAAACCACTTTTTGTAATTTCATCCAATTGTTCTTTTTGCACTTAAATATATTAAGGAAACTGTGAAATAACTAGGGGTGCAAACGAGCCAAGCTACTCGGGATCGGATCGTTAAAAGCTCGACTCGAAATCGA